AGCTGCTAAACCATATCAAGCATACGAATTGCTGCTGTACACTTCTGTAGTGTAGAAAAACCGTATCTTCCTGTAGCATCTCTTTTTTGTTGAAAGAATGGAATTGTGGAGAGTCGATCAACAACACGCATGAATAATGGCTTGTTCATTCTAAAACGGCGTCTGAATAGATTAGGAGGGAAAGTTGGATTTTCTGCGAAATAATCGTTCCATAACTGGATGTGTCCTTCTTCTCGATTTCTTTCAATATGGACTCGTTTTTTCCTCGGTTTTGCGGTTTGTGGACGATCACCGTAAGAATACAAAGAATTATCTATTTCTTGCTGTAAAATATTACTAAATTCTTCGTCCAACGCTTCTTCTAAATTTTCATGGGAAGATGATGCCATTTACAATGTAGAATTGTTTTGGATTTTTTTGAGTAAAAATAGAAGCCTTGGCGTAGAAAAGAAATTGGAGATTTTAGTTGTAGAAAAGAAAAAGAAGCCTTGGAGATTTTTGTTGCAAGTAACTGTTTTTAGAGTAGAAAAGAAATAGAAGCAAAGTAAGAAGGAAAGAGTCTGGACAATTGATATTACAAAGTGATATTACATGGTCATATTTATAGTGGACTACACAAAACATATACATGGTTAAGAAGCAAAGTGAAACATGTGGCTACAATGAATACTTGTGTCCGTGAACAAACAGAGAGGACTTGTGGTAAAAAGAAAACTCATTCAAACATGTGGTTAGAATCAAGACTTGTAGTGTCCGTGTACTTGCTGGAATCTTGTCCTCTTTAACATGTCCCCTTCTTGTCAACTTGTCTTTTTGCTTCACGTGTTGCTAGTGAAGCAACTTGTCTATCCTGCACAAAAACACAAACGTGTTACCATCACAATATCACAACTCCACTTGTTTGTCATGCACTTCAACTATTTCAAGCAAAACTGATTCATACAAACACTGATTCATTGATTCAAACAAGTTCATACAAGCAAAAGACATAACTTATGACAGAAAACACAAATTGAAATACAACAAAAAGACAAACTTATGATACATGAAACAAAAGAAAGCCGAACTTATGATACATGAAACAAAAGAAATCCTTCAAGCATTTGACAACATGTCATTTATGAGCTTGTCTTTTAAGGCAATTTCTGTGTCACTAAGCTCTGTTTTTGCAAGTAGACTATCAAGCATACTATGCTTGCTCTGTTTCTCTTTTAACTCAAAGTTCTTTTTTGAGATCTCCCATATGCCCTGCAACCTAGAGAGACCATTGCCTTCTTCTCCCACAGTCTTTTTTGCGTTGGCCTTTGCAGCCTTAACACCAATAGGACGATGCATTGCTTCCTCTACTCCATGGGACAGTGGCTGACAGCTTGAAGGCTCAACAGACTCCTTAGTCTTTCTTCTTTTAGACTGTCCAGTCGGTTTAGTAGTAGGAGCTGAACACCATTTTTGATCATGGCGAAGCTCTCTCCAAGCATGCTCAAGATTGAATTTTGCATCATAGTCGTTGGTGAAGATTTGGTGAGCCAGTTTCATCACATCATCATCATTCTGGCCACTTGATTGCTGTTTTAACGCAGCCTCATAACTCCCTACAAACTTGCATACACCATCATTGATCTTAGCCCACCTCTGCTTTATGTGATCTGGCTCTCTCCTTTCCACACCTTTCAGATTTGGACTTGCACCATAATAGTTAGCAATGCGTGACCAAAAAGCATTACCCTTTTGTTCATTGCCTATTACTGGATCCTTACTTGTGTTGAGCCAAGCACTGATGAGCACCACGTCTTCTGTGGGAGACCATTTCCTTCTCCCTCTTTTCACCTTGGGTTTGTGTGCAGCTTGGCTTGGAGAGTCAGCTTGGCTTGGAAAGACAGGGACATCATCATACGGATTGGCTTCTAGATTGTGAACCTCTTGTTGACTAGTTAAGAGGTTCACAAAGCCTGATCCATGACTATATGGATATGAATCCATAGCCTAGTTCTCTGGTTGGTGTTGAAAGGAAGCAGGATAAAAAAAGAAGAAGTGTTTTTGGTGTGTGTAAATCAGTATTAAGTTAGAGAAGAAGAGGTTCATATATAACAAGAGAAACGCTTGGTTTGTGTTAAGTGTGACACTAAATTCTTTACCTAATCAAATAAAACACAGAGGCTATAGGCATTGATAACAAAGATTTGTTGTTGAGTAGGCAGGGCATTATTAAAAAAGAGTAGGGGTGTGTGTTTAAGTGTACGTGATAGAACATAATGAGAGATAGAGTGTTTAGGTTTTTATTAAAAGGGAAGAAATCAATTAGACAAGAAGTTTGACAGATAAGAAATGAATTAGACAATAAGTGCTAGGTGTTTTAAGTGTGACACAACAAGCAATCAATACCAACTACCAAGCATTGAGTAAACACAATGTCACTAAGCAGAGCCACCAAGCATCAAATTCAATAGAACCAGTCAATGTCACTATCTCTTTTCAACTCAGCTTTTGCAAGTTCTCCAATTAACCTCGCCAAAAGATAAACAAATCAAAATCAAGCCAAACATAGTTCTCCAATCGACCAATCTCATCAATCACAACTTATCCATATGTATTCACCTAATCTAAATCATGAAACATACCAAATTCAACCAAACAACTAATCAAAAACGGATCAAAATCAAGGTTAAAATGAATCAATCTACCATTGTTAATGGAGACACATCAAACAGAGAAACATTAAATGGGTCAAACCAATAGAGAACACATCAAAAAACAGAGAAAACTCTCCATTTCTAAGGGAAACATAGAACACATCAAACGACATCATAAACCTCTAATTTTGCAAACATCAATTCCCATTTCTAAGAACCCTAATTTTGCTAACATCAAATCCCCAATTTCAGAAAATCCTAATTTCGACACCACATCAAATAACCCGAATATTACATGAAAAACAATCGAAAGCAGAGATATGCGTACCATGGAAAACAGATTGGAGCATCCAATAACCAAATTCTTCAATTTGGTGAACTCTCCGATATTTTGATCCCGATTTGGTGAACCAGAAATCGTCGATAGTCTCCATCTTCGGTTGAATGATGATGACGGCAGACGAATGACTAATTTCCGACTCATATCTCTTCTCAATTCATCGGATCGAGCCGGATTGAAGAGCTCTCGCAGTGCGTTTTTGGATGTTGAGAAAGAGAGAGAGAAACACGATGAACTGAGAAAAAAAGTAATACGCGTTAAATTTTATTTTTGGTTTTGTCTTTTTTCTCGCCCACTTATCTTAACACACAAAAAACATCTAAGCTAAGATTTACTTCTTAGCCTTTTAATCATTTTTGATTTAATTTTAAATGCTAAAACCTAAGATAATTAACTAAGATATGGGCTAAGATGCTCCGTTATTCATGCTCTTAGTGACAAGTTAAATGTCTTATCTGACCTCTACTCAATCATCTAGTTTAGTGAGTTTGTAAACATTATTTAACATATTTCTAGCAAAAGGCTTTAACTTTTGGAAAATCCAAATCTTGTGGAAGTTGTATTCTCAGTATGCTTTTGGAACTTTTTTCAAAACCCCTCATCTATAAATATCATAGAACGTTTATTAAAAAAAGAGACTATAAAATGTGAAAGTTTTAAACGTGTATGTGCAAAGTCAAATGTGTACATGTCTAACATTGTATATACATACACATTGTCACTTTGACCCACTCCCCTCGTGGCCAAAATATCTCACCAACTTCATATATCCTAACCAAACATATATTACTACAGAAAAATTAGGTATTCTTATCAACGGAAAACGTTATCTAGCGTTGGTGATAATAGATTTATCAACGAGATATTTTTTAAAAAATATTTCTATGGTTCTATATACTTCTATTATTTAATTTAGCGCTTTCATGTCTGCAATCATATACTCTACAATAACATTCAAATATAAATTACAAAGAAAAAATAATCAACAATATTAATTATAAAATTTTGGAAAGAGAACATTTTTGTCTTAATATTACTAGCTGTACGTATATTACTAGATGTATATCACCATCTCCTGCAAACGGGAACCTATACCACCATCTCCTATATATCATCCATTATGTACGCGCACTAATACATCTTCCTTCCTAATCCATACATGCACCCATATATATATACATGACTCACGCATGATAATTCATATCATAATAGTAATCATTCATAAATCCAAACCAAAAATACCTAAAATTACTCTCAAATCAAATATATATGTCTTCTTTCAAAATGATCTTTCAACCACTCTCACTACTTCTTTTCTTAACTCTACTCGTTAGTTCTGTTACTTGCGGCCGTTTCCTCTACGACTTTGACCCTGTCCCGTCATCTGCTACTACGCCATTGGATACTGACTCAGTTGGCTTCGGCGGAGCCGTGATTGAAGTCGTGGAAAATCAGGCCGTCAGTGGAAGTCTGTTAGCTAGCCTTTCTTTGGGTAATGGCGTCCTTTTGACTAGTAACGAAAACGAAGTCCCTCTCATTCACCAGATCACCAATATCCAACATAATCAAATGATCAGCTCGTAGGTACAACTAGTCAACAAAACCATAACTTTAAGGAAATTTTTTTCCCAACCCCTGCAATGTATCATCAAGAGTTGTACCTGTAATCATATCAGTTGACAATTTGAATGGTCTTTTATTGAACTTGGGTGAAACAACACATAAACTAAGGGGAACAATAATCATTTAGTAAATAGTGATATGATCATCAGTTTGTCTTTCCACAAACATCTTGATTAAACAAAAGCAAGATGTCATATATATATAGATAACGAAAGCTAGAAACAAGATCTTTCTCAGATAACTGAAATGGATATTGTTTCATGAACATGTTAACGAGAACGGATGACTATAGCAAGGACGAGATAGAGATAATTATATCAGACACGCCCATCAGTAGACTGTTTGATGCCAAGAAAGTAAGAGAGACCATCATGCTTTCGAGACCCATCTGTTGTTTTGAATTTGTCTTACGTCAGGACTATACGTTCTTATGTCATTTCTGCAACTCTCTTTACATCATGTATTTATTTTAAGAAAAATGTTGCAATATGAAGGGATGATCCTATGAGATCAGGAAATAGTCGCACTAGAGTTTAAAGAAAAAGAACCGAAACTCTCATTGCAGAAGCTTAAGTTGGTGGGTCCTTTCGCTTAAGTTGTGAGCTTTCAGATGGCTCAATTTGCGAGCCTCCACCAGCAGAGTCAATTCCAAGACAATATTGCGACCTGACATAGACCATTTTGTATAAACCAACTCCAACAGATGGCATTCTGAGATATTGCTTCCCAGGATTAGTACAAAATTTTCTCGTGTACGATTATCTAGTCTCCAGCTTAAAATGTCAGTTATGATCCTGCGAATTTTCGCAGGTCCCTCTCCTGAAAACCATACGAATATATATATATTATAAACGCGACGTGGATCAAAGTTATTTAAGACATGAAAGAGACTTCACCTGCGAGTGTGTGATTGACAACGATTTTGAGGTGACCACCAACCACTGGGATCAGATTCGTGTCACCACAATAGATGGAACCCGTACCACGATAGTCAATTACCTTTGGCAGAGATTAGGTCCTGCGGGCTGATACAGAGATCTAATTCAACCCTAAATAATTTAACAAACTTTATATAGCTTTTGAGGGAGAGGTTTTAGACATAACAAAAGTGATACGTCGCCGTTTACTTGTCTGGACCAAATACTTATTTATCTATGGGCTTGTATATTGACCCAATACCATAATAATTAAAATTTTCAAATTACTTTTTATGATGATCGAGTTGGATTCGAAGAGTGTACACCGCAGGTTTATTAATTTTTACATTATTGATAAATGTTATAGGTCTTGGTTGATGTTTTTTTTTCGGTACTTAATGATAAGATATAGATTTTCATATTTTGTGATATTGATGATGAGTCTTATTGTAGTGTGTTATGGATCATGGATGTTTAAGGAACTCGGAAGAAATTGGTTCTGAATTCGACCAAATATTGGTTGGTGAATACAAACCAAATTTGGTTTACTTCGGTTTAAAAGGTGTCATTTTAATTTTTTGGGGTAAGCCTAAGCCATGTCTTATGTATCTTAAAAGGCCACAAAAGGCCCATTAGTTCCTTTCTTGAGATTAATGGTTTCTTTATCGGCCCATTTAGTGGTATCCAGCCCATTAACGGTTTCTTTCTTCTTTCACATTGCCTTCTTTCTGTGTCGGAGCTTCTTCCATGGCGAAACTAGCACAAGAGATGAATCCTGAAGGTTCACGATACCAGCTTCTTCTCTCATGTCCTTCTGGCCTCTCTCCGTCTCAGGTTATTCTCTAATCGAATCTGTACACTGTGATTGTATCCTTAATCATCTGATTTCGTCGTTTCAATTCAAAAAAGGTCTCAGTGGATTTCTCGAAATCGCATGATCGGATTCCTCATCCTGATCCTGATCTCGAAGATTCTATTTCTCAGGTGAGAAATCGAAAATGGAGTATCTAGAACTAGTTTTGGTTTCTGAATTATGCAACGTAATCCAATAATGCTTTGATCGTAACAATGTTGAAGATTCCACTACTTAGTCATCTAATTTTTCATGACGTGATTTGAATGTTTCGACTTGATCCGAATTTTGATGTGATTACTTTGGCAAATTTAGGTTTGGGAGCAAAGATCACAGAGCAATTCATCATTGTTCAATGGCCAAAAATTTAGGGTATGCATCAATGTTTTGAGATTTTTATTTATGTTTCTTTGCATTTGATTGCATTGGTTTTGAAGTTGTTTGGTACTTAGTCACTAATCAAAGCAGCTACTTCATGTATTTAAACTTCGACATAGATTGTTTATTTGTTCGATAAGCTTACTCTTAGTTATAATTTTCAGTATGGATCATATTGTTTAGGTGGTGATGATGGTGGTGCCAATGAAGTGCCACACGTTTGTCTTCGTCTTGGCCTGACTGATTACAGGTTTCTCATTTATCTTTATTTTTCATTTCTTTGTACATGATTAGGCTTATAGTTTATTGATTTCTGGTATACATTGTATGGTTTGATGGGGAGAATTATTAATCATGGACATGGTTTCCAAGGACTTTTGTAGGAACGAATTTGAGTTCTCTGTGGGAGAGGTTCCTTGTTCCATCAGAAGGTATATCTGCACAAACCCAATCTCTGGTGCCTTGTCGTGAAACTGGAGAGATTCTATTGGATTTGTTTGCGTTTCTTATCGCTTTAGTTTTGTTCTCCCACAGATGACTCTGTAAGATGTCGACATACCTCAAGTCCATTGGGTAATGGTGCAGTTATCGAGACTTCTGACAAGAAGATTATTGTGTTACGCCGGAGTAATAATGTCGGGGAATTTCCAGGTCACTATGTATTCCCTGGGGGACATCCAGAGGTATTTACATAAAGCATCCTATATATACATAAATCATCAGCAGATTGTCCTGTTTCTGACTCTTTGGCCTTGTCGATTACTTTAAACATTGCAGCCAACAGCAGTAGGCATTGATTATCATCAGCTTGAAAATGATGTTCAAACCGGTGAAGTTTTAAACAAGAAGGTAACTCAAGAAATGTTTGACAGTATTATCTGTGAAGTTGTTGAAGAAACTGGAATACCAGCATCATCACTTGTAAGCCAGAAAGATTTCTTTTGGTCTCTCACTTAATTAGGCATCCCAAGAGATATCTAATAGGAATTTCTTTTATACAACTACAGAGCCCGCCTCTCTTCATCGGTATATCTCGTAGGGAGTTGAATGTACGACCAGCTATGTTTTTCTACCTCAAGTGTAGTCATCATTCAGATGATATTCCAAGATTATACTCTAGCGCTGAAGATGGGTTCGAGTCAACACAGCTCCACACTGTCTCATTGGTTAGTTCTCTAATCCATTAAGGAAGAAAAACCATCGACTGCATGTTTTACTCTCTAAATGTTATGATCCCATCACGAATAACTGTAGTTTCGCTTTAATTAATCGATCAGGATGAGCTGAAGATGATGACATCGAGAATGCCTGGTTGCCATCATGGTGGATTCGCTCTCTACGAACTGATGCTTCAACGCTTTCAAGAACACTAAGGAAACAGCGTTAATAGCAACGTAAGAGGAAATACTTAAACTTTACACCTAGTTGTGTTATGGTTTGCTAATGATCATGTCATTTTCGAGTAAATTTTATTATAATTAATCCCAATAATTTTAAAAATCCATGATAATGAGTAACTGATTAATTCAGGGATCGAAAGCTCTAAGTTATGTTCGATAAAAGGTTAATTTGTTTACATATGTAAATGGAGAGTTCTACAGAACCTACAACAGAGGAAATATGAAAGCTTACAAATCTCAAGCAAACACCATTATGATTCATGAGTTTACCCGGTTTTGGATGAATGGATGAATTCCTCTGGCTTTGTTTGAATTTACTCCTAAAAAGTGCAGATAAATTAGCCTTAGCACGACCATTCTCCACATACTAGAAATAATCGTCTACCGAAACAAAAGCAATGATTCAGAACTATATAGTAGATAATGCAGTGATTGAGAAACAAAATCTTTAAAACATTCTTAGACAAATGGAACGTAAGAATACAATAGACCGCTGCATGGAATTCTATTCAAGAAAGTGAGAGTTGTATTTGGAAAGACGAAATAAGCCAAGGCCGCCATTTTCTGTTCTTTGAGCGTGTTACAAGACAAGGACAATTATTATGAGAGGAAAGGAAATGAGATGGATGACCAATCGATATTCGCAATATTGAGTCAGTCACTCGACAACTACTCTGTATTATTCTTTTTAGAATCGTCTCATACATCTTTTCGACTTTTCCTAAATTATGCAAAGTAAGCATCAGCCAGAAAAATCTATTTCCTACCAAGCGAAACCAGGAATCACCTGTACCACAGACAGTACTGAAGCAACAAAAACAGCATCGAGACCAATCTGCCCGGTTTTAGGCTTCCATATGACTTCAGAACAAGCCTTCTCAACCATTTCATTCCACGTAGTTCCTGCTTTAGACTGCAGCTAGAACTTTGGTATCCCCTGAAATAAAAACGAGAACCATACCCATTTGAAAGTTCCATATGGACTGTCCGCTGAACCCTTCAATCAAACCTACGCTCAGTTTCTTTGTCTTCTGATAACTTTACCATGCAACCTTCCACAGAGACACTGCAGGATTAACAGATGATGGACTAGTACCTCTGTTGCCACCCTGTCCTTCCGGCAGAATTAGCAGATAGGTATATTTTATAGAATTTAGTTATAATTACAGCTATCCCGAAGCTAACATTGTTGAATTCATTGTGAATTAGGATGTATATCATCATATAGAAGGGATAACAGAGTTGAAGCACAGCTTAAACAAGAGAAACTATTTTCTGAGGAGTCAGAGGATGCACTTCCAATAGCTGTTCTTGGTCAGGCCAGATTTGTTGAACACTACACAGAGCTACAAGAGAAGTAAAATGACTTAGGCGTAAACCATAAAGCAACGGTGGAGTGGATACTGGAGTTGAAGAAGCAGTAAGTATCAAAGGCTGGTAAAATGGGTTGGGGTTCTGGTTCTGCTAATTCACTTTCTACTGAGCTCTAAGCCCTTGAAGTAGAAAGTGAAAAGAAATAGAAAGAGAAAGGGATTTTTTGAAGAAGGAAAACGTAAGCCTCAAGATTGAATACCGCTGGAGTTCTTGTTAGACTCAGAGAAGCTGCTGAGGTAACACAAATTTTTCATATTTTAATCGATAAACCATTGGTGTGTGAGTGAGCGTGGCATTTTTTTCTGAGTTTTGGGCTCCCACTATGAACATATTCCGTTCCAGGAAAAGTTCAATGAAGTAGAAGAAGAAAACGAGAAGTGAAAGAAAAAATATGGAAAAGCTATAAGAGGAGACACAAGTTGGAAGTGGTAACAATCAAACAGAATCTAAAACAAAACGCATTGCGAGAATCTGCATTACATTTACTATGAACATATTCGGTTGCAGGAAAAGTTCAATGAAGTAGAAGAAGAAAACTAAAAGCTAAAGAAGAAAAGGGAAAAGCTAAAGAGGAGACAGAGTCAAACAGAATCTAAAGCAAAACACATTGCAAGCCGCATTACAGTCACTGCATCAGAGGAACAACTAGGCTATTGAGGAAGGTATGTAGAAACATAGCAAAGTGCATGACTTATTGCAGAAGTTTGCAACCTGTTGAATTCGCTAGAATCTTAAAACCATCCCTTGTGGAAACAGCTAGAAGGTTGCCTTTTTAAGATTCTAGCGAATGGTTTTGACTAGGAGCAGGCTGGGTACATCGTGCTAGAGAACGTAGAGTTGCAGGTGCCAGAGAAGGAGGCGCCAATTTGCCATGAAGAAGAGGGTTCTCTTGAATTTGTGTTTCAAGATAATCCAAGGTGACTTTCCGATGAGCTTTGCGCTCATATTGGGAAAGCTCTTCATGCTCCCTGCATTTCAATAAGGAAAGATAAGGGATCCATCTTGACAGATACTATTTTCTGAGTACTAGTGGTAAATTCAAATTATATGGTATAAATACTTAATAGAATCATACAATTTTGGTTATTAAAGACCTACATGATATTTTGCAAAGTAAGAAGCTGAATCAGCTCTTTGTACTGCTTTGTATCAGAGAAAACTCCTAAATCCTGCCGCAATATGTGAAGAGCCATTGTCTTGTCTTTCCTACATAGAAGCAATGAAATGGTAACAACAATCTTCAACCACTAAGAAGATCTTACAAGAGTGTAAGATTACAAAATACATGTATGGATTCATACCGTTCAAGAGCCTCTATATACTTGACCTTCCAAATCTGAAAGAATGTATCCCTTGTGTAATCATTATCGTTGACATTGATAAAGCCTCTGAGATAACTCTCGACTTCATCCCATTCACCAGCAATAAAGTTTTCCTTGAAATATTGCAGGTTGAAGATATAACCTGTTTCTTTCTCAAGCCTACAACAATGGAAATAAGAATCATCTCATCATCCCGTAACATAAGCAATCAATTAGTTGCATATCAATCTGTAATTACTGAGTATCAATTTCATATCTTGGTTGATTAGGATTTAGGAATCATCTCATCATCCCGTAACATCCGCATTCACTGTAATTAGTGAGTATCAATCTCATATCTTGGTTGATTAGGAAACTAGATTGAATCTTTGTAGTATATATGTAATGCACATAACCCTATTGGAATATACACAAAATTCTCCAAACTACATCGTCTCTGTTCTTGAATCAAACCATTACTAAACATTTTCTCAAACACCTTAACTACGTGAAATAAAGGATCAATCTTTGGTGAATCTTTGTTTAACATACAATAACTTAACTTAGTCAAATAAAAAATCATCAATCTTGAAGAAACACAACATACCTGTGCATGGAATCGAGTAATTTTTCCTCCTCGAGAAATTGGAGAACGATGAGCACCAAATCTCGTCTCAAATCCGACATCTTTGAAGGCTTTGAGAGATTCCGAAGAGCTTGGAATATCAAGAATTCGAGAGAGAGAGCTTTGGATTACTAGGGTTTCGCAAAGAATCGTTTCTTTCAATGGTGGATTTGGGATTACTGAGACTTGAGCGAGAGACACTTTCAAAAGACGAGAGAGTGAGAGGGAAACACCTTTATATATCCCATGTGGGCCCCATAATTTCTAGCTCTTCTTCTTTTATGTAAAAAAATACTTATATGTTACTGTTAGGGGTGGGCACAAGGCAAATACTTACTCTTTTAGCGATACTTATTACTTGGCTTGCCTTGTACGAGTAATAAAAATTAGTACTTGTGCTTGGCTTGTTGAAAACGAGTACTTGTAATTTCGAGTACTTGCTAAAAAATGAGCGACTTGCGAGTTACTTGCCTTGCCTTATTACTTGCTACTTGCGACTTACTTGCAAGTAACACTTTCAAAATTTTTACATATTTAAATTTTACTTTATTTTTGATGTAACTTTTAATTATGTTCTTAAAACTAATAGAATATGAAATATATGTATATAAAATGGTAAAATATTAAGAGTACCGGATCAAACAAGCCGAGTATTAATTTTTTTTTCCACTACTTGTTGCTTGGCTTGTACTTGCAAGTATTTAAATTATACTACTTAGTACTTGACTTGACAATAACGAGTACTTGTTTTTTCAAGGCGAGTACGAGGCAAGTAACGAGTATGAGACGAGTAACGAGTACTTGTGCCTCAGCCTAGTTAGTGTGACTTCTTATCAAATTGAATATTTCGGAAAAAATAAATTCAATAAAACGAAAAATTATTTACTCAAATCTTCTTCAGCTAAAACCCAAAAAAATTGAATAAAATATAGAAGAACTAGAAAAGCTGTTCTGCTATATAATCGTTTTCTTGAAAATGTATTGTGATGCATGTAAGATTATTTAGTTCTTTCAACATTGTTTAATATGTGTTCTCAAAAATTAATCATATTTTTTCTTGTGTGTTTAGGAATAAAATTGTTAAATGAAAATTACTTTTCTGATTTTATAATTGACCTTTACATACACGAATGTATAAAGTTTTTAATAATTGTTTCCTCTGAAAAAATTATTTAAATGTGAGAAGTAGACTACGAGAGTGTGTTCTTAATAAAGGTCGAGCTAGTCAAATTATTTAGCTTGTAAACTAAAGATGCCTAGATTGAAACAAACAATTGGTCTTTTACATATACATCTTGTTTTTTTGGTCAGAAAAATGTTCTCGTCAACTAATAACGAGAAACAGAGTTTTCAAGGGAAAACGACTACAACTTTAGAATTGAGTAGTAGCTTTATCCGATTCAAATCAAGCGCATTCATCAGCGCTACTCTTGCTTCCCCTGCCTAGGTGAGAGCAAAAACTTATTATAGTCCGAGAAAGAGCCTAAATCAGTGTCTGATTGATCAAGGAAGCACCAAGTTAAGCCATTGTTCCTATTGTTAGGATTCCATGCAGCATCACCAAATGAAACAACGAAGGGCAGAGAGGAGTTTGGGGTTTATCAGCCTGATCTTCAGGTACAATTGCTTGAATCCATAGAGAAATATGAGCCGCTTGCCAATCTTTTGCTTTCTGAATAGACTTGGCCACAGTTTCAACTTCAGAGAAAGCTCGATAAATCAGTTGATTCCTGGCTGTCCACAAATTCTAGCAGATCCAAGGATAAACTTCACCATTTGCTATGCCTGTAGGAGAGACATTTACTAGACGTTTTGCTTGGAGAAAATCCAGAATCAAGCTGTAACCCCATCCTATGAATTGGGGATAGATGCCAGATCTGTTCTGCAAAAATGCATTCAAAAAGCACGTCAGGTAACATCTCAAGGAGGTCACATCTTCTTCATCTTGCGTCAACCGTTACTCCACGTTATGATAGCAGTCCTTGCCAATTGAAATCAGTAAATGCAGCAGAGGGATCAATCCTTGATCGAAAAGCATATCCTGTTCGAGTAGAGTAAGTGCTGTTTGTTACCCTTAACCAGACTAGTTTATCTATTCTTCTAACAGAGCTCAAAACCAGCTGAGTGATGCGCTGTTCATACTGCGAGATAAGTTTTCTACTTTTCTCCACATTCCAATGGTGGGAATCCTGGTGTATTATATCTCTGAGACTCGAAGATCCTCATGGTGCTTCTGTTGACTGAGAGTCAGGGGTCTGTCCATAACATCCTCTCTATTGCCAGTTAACCGACCAATTCCTTTTCTTTAGCACACCACGACCTGCAATGATTCTTCTTCATCGATTTGAGGGATTAGATGGGAGAGAACACTCCAGAAAGGAGGATTCATGGCAATACTTGTCCAAAAGTACTCGAGAGAGCAAAGAATGTGGATATTAAGTACCCACCAACAGATTTTTTTAAGGAGTGCACCGTTAAAGGTTACAATATCCCTAAAAACCAAGTCCTCCGGCCTTTTTTGCCTTATATATATCTTTGATGGTATGGCAAATTCACTCCTACACATGTTTCTTTATTTGCTCCTTACCTGTAATGATTTCTAATTTCTATGCAGCCCCTTTGAAATTTTGCTGCCGACATAACCTTAGTTCTCATTCATTTTAAAACTTGCACAAAACATGAGGCACCTTATATTGAAAGATTACCCTAGAAAGATAGAGATAGCAAAAATATTCTAGAAGTCACTAAACCAAAACAACCGCCCAAATCATGGGAAGATACTGTAACTCTCGGGCTCTATTTGGTAGTTTGAATCCACCAATACTGAAACTACCAAGCGTAGCCGCTTCACTTTTCTCAATAAGAGGTGAAGTTAGTTAGATCAGGCTTACAAACAATCATCTAGAACACTGTTTGTACATCCCACCATTACCGTACATGCCTGAACCTCAAAAGAGACCACTATATCAACCCCTACACAATATGCCTCACTACTACCTTATGTATTCCACCTCCATAAATTGCTGACCCATATCCGGAGTTAAAATTTATGTTCCAACTCTAGCTTAAGTGATGTACAGCAAATACTAAGCATTTTTTCCTGTTAAAATAAATAACTCAGCAAATACCATCACCATGCATCATCATCAAGACACAAACTTACATTCATAACTCGTAAGTGCCCCCACAATTCTGTTTTTACCAAAGGTGTAGATTCCATCAAACCATTGGTAAATGAATGAGAACTACACAGCACAACTTTATGAGTGAATGCTTCCGTAGATGAAATCAGTTTTATCATTCACAGGAAATGGCCTAAACTAACTAAAACCTGAAATACATTGATAACAGACCTTTCAGGCATTGGTAATTAACAGGATAACAGACCTTTCAGGCATTGGAGAAGAAGTCATAAACATCTCTCTCAGCATCTTTTACAGGCATATGCTAATATGAAATCATTTAGGTTGGCTTGTTTTTCCTCCTGCATTATCAACCAAATGTCATATGGTCTGTTGCCGGATCGGCTTCGGTCAGTGATACTAAAAATGATATCTATAATACTGAAATAAACTGCATAGTTTGATATCCATGTTCATATAGGTTGGGCAAGTTAAAGGAAGGACAATAAGAAGCTCGCCTGAAGGACTACCATAGAAAGTAAGAGTCGGAAATGTACCTTGTCGAATCCAAATTCTTTATTAGGTGATAAACAGAAAAACACAAACTAATCAGGTTCAAAAGTAAATGAATGCAAGAAACAAAAAATGTATTTGTAAATGGAACTAACTAATAATAATCACGTTCTTTCCCTTTTCCCGGTTGGTTGATTTGCAGTTGTACTAAGCTTGGAACATAAGAAGAGCACACAACTGGGTAACAATACTTTCTCGGAGTATATCCAAACATGTATGGTTTGTCAAGTTTTGCGAGATTCGGAGCTTCTCCGATATTCACAGATTTGAAGTATCCACCTTGTCCAATGATGTGAGCTGTTTGGTAACGAGTCTCATCATATTTGTAATCTAGACCAAAAACCACAGCAACTTTCTTCCCCTCGTCAATGAAAAAACTCCCAGCCTCAATGTGAACATGAGAACCACGGAACGATCTCAAAAACTTGCTCCAGGACACCGCATTGGGTTCAAGCTTATTCGTAACCCAAATCTCATATACGCTAGATAAATTCAGGTGGTAACTAAACACGGCGAGCTGCTCCTCTCCAACACAAGACAGAGTCATAGTTTCTGAACGATAAGAGTGAAACGAAAGAGGCAGAGGCAGGGGCGGTCCAAATCTCTCACTTGTAAAATCAAAACAGAGTAAACTATCTTCAATCTTTCTTCTCACCCCTTCTCCTCCACTCACTGTTATCTTCTCATGACCCAAAAAATAGCTATCTCCCTTCAAAGACACACCACGTTGATGAGACGGTATCTCCCAATCGGGAGTGACACAATAAAACTTCCATAAATCAGAGCTAAGATCATAGATTTCGTACCCAAAACAAGAAATCCTCAAAATCTTGTGGTTACGGTTCTTGTCATAACCAAGAGCATACCTGTCTGAGCTGAGGAAACTGGTTCTGGGTTGGATCCACTTGGTTTGACCCAAATACGGGTTCCATACCACAAGCCCTGTGTTGTCCTTAACGACGCATAACAACAAGCCGTCGCAGTGAAACAATTTAGATATCTTCACTTGATCAAGTAAAGCTACCTGCTTTATAGATGGGTCTGCGCCGTAGTCTTCGTTTGGGAGATTGAATTTCACTGAACAAACTCTATAATCCATCATCATGAATCCCAAAAACTGTTTCTCTGTTTTACCAAAAATCTGATTTTTCGATAAAGCATTCCATTTTTTGCAAGTAGATCGTAAAGCTTTCAGAGATGTTGCTGGAACCCTACAGAGTATCTCCTCTACCAATTCCTCGGACAGATCTGATATTGTCGTCATTCTTTCAAACTTTCAAGCTTCGATAAACAGCTCCGCTAGGTTTGGACGAAAGAAAAGAAAATAATTATTCCTTTTCAGGACAGGACAGGAGAGCAAGTCACATACTGTCTCTCAACTCTCAAGTATTCGAAGACAAATCGGCCTACTGTATGAACCGAACCCAACCGACCGAACAGAAATTTGTTAATTGGGCTTGTTATTAGATTTTGAATTAGTCCAATTTCTTTTTTTTTTAAGTCCAATTTCTTCGAAGTTGGTTCGAATTAACTACTGAATTAGGAAAAAATTCGGTTTAGTTCAGAGTTGATTTTAAACCCTACAACCGAACTGGACCGAATTATTTTCGGTTCGATTCGGCAGAACTATAATAGAAAACTGGAAAACCAAATAAACCGACAATTTAAATCAATAAAACCAAATGCCCGGGGTTAGTTTTTGATATCTACTAAATAACCTAAATTGTTTTCGTTAGCTGATTGATAACTATGGACAACTTGAACTCACCTATATAGTTTTCTGTGTATTTTTGTTACCCATTTACCAATTTTAGCTACAACACTGGTACCATAAGGCAAGTATTATTGTCCTCATGTCTTCTGTTACAGTGACCTTTTTGGTCTGTGGAACTCAAGTTGTGCTATGCCTCTGATCAACGCACTACTTATTGAGCTGGCACCCATCAGCTTGAATCAGAGAGTATTAATATTTTTTTTGTCAATGAATAGATAGGCCAATTTGCTTTCATTACTACTTTCTCCCTATTCTTAAAAATTGTTGTGCTTATCGTTCGTATGCTGGATAATTGAAAGCAATAGCTCATCTGTTTCGAATCTGATCCCACGGGCTGAATCTGATCCCATTAGATTTGCTTTGAACAAAAGAGGGAATGTCATGAAGAAGTGACGAATCAAGTAGTTCGTCAGATTCATACATCAATAGCTCTGACCATGGCTACCATTTGTATTAAAGATACGAGGTTCATCTGTTCACATATCTAACGATACTAGATTCTTAGGCCTCCAGCATTTAAGATTTGATTAGACACATCGACGATAAGGATTCTATAAAAGCTACAACAGGAGAAATATGAAACCGTCAAAATCTCATGCAAACCATTATGAATTTGTGCTCTTTACCCGGCCTTGGATGAATCTTTTTGGCTTTGTTGGAAGTTCTTTCTAAAAAATGCAGATAAACTAGCCGTAGCAGCACGGCCGTTCTCTACACACAGGAAATAATCGTCCACTGAAACAAAACAGAAACAAAAGGCGAGAATTCAGAATTATAAATGATGCAGTGATTGAGAGAAACAAGTTCTTAACACATATCTCAGACAAACGAAATGTATGAGCATAATAGACCACTGCTTTAAACATATAGTGAATTCTATTCAAGAAAGGAAAGTTGATCAGTACCTGACATTACTCCATGGGTAACTGATGTAATGATCCCATGCTCTACTGGCTCGCCTTCCGCTACTGATGATCCTTCCGGAAGAACAGAGAGAGTTGTATTTGGAAAGACTAAATAAGCAAAGGCCGTCATTTTCTGTCCATTGCAGTTTCAAGTAAGTATAACAAACACGCAAAACAAAAGATAACAATGGACGATAAGGTATTTAAATAACCTTTTCTTCAAGCTTGTTTGGATCGAGTACGAGATATCCATTATCAGCCAGGCAACAACATATAGCAACTGAAAGATAAAAACGCCAATGAAATAGTAAGAAGAAACACACAAAGTCAATTAGAGAAGAGTATAAAGTTGCAAAGAAGTACCAGCGAGATGCTTCATAGGGATTCCTGCATCGACAAGCGCTGCACATGCTGCATTTATCGCACACGGTAGAAGCTACACAGAATTGAATCAAGGAACAAGCAGCCAAAACTGTCTTCCAAATTAATGCACCAATTATTCCACTAAAACATATTCACACTCCCAGCTTATGGAATTAAAATCCTTCACTACTAAAAACTCTATAAATGCTCAGACCGACATTGCTTATACCGGATTAAATGTGTTTGAGACAGCATCAGTAAATGTTTACCAAGGGGCAAGGAACATAAAAAGGATACAGAACCATCATCATGTACAACCTACACGGAAATCAAAAATGAAAACATCAGATACAACTCAAATTCAGAATCTCACAAGGCAGGACAATTATTACAAGGGAGTGGAGGTACTGAAATGGATGAAGAATCGATATAAACAACATTCAATAGCTACTCACCTGAATTATCACTGAGGTGGTGGTATTTGGATTAACTGTCAAAACACAAATACTCTGTATTGTCCTTTTCATTATCATCTCATACTCCTTTTCTACTTTTCCTATCATTATGCAAAGTAAAATTCAGTCAGAATCTAAAAAACCAAGAATCACCTGTTCCGCATATTCAAGCAACAAAACAACATCCAGACATGATTAAACTAAATGCATTTACGATTACCAATCTGCCCAGTTTTAGGCTTCCATATGACTTCAAAACAAGCCTTCTCAGCATTTTCATTCTTCTTCGTTCCTGCTTTAGGTCCATAAACTGCAGCTAGAACTTTTGTATCCCCTGAAAATATAAACGAGAAGCATACACATTAGAAACTTCCATCAATCCCATTCAAAAAGGACTACAAAACTTTGTACCCATAAGATATATTAAGAAATCTGATAAAAGTACCTTGTGACCAACTAGCAGAGCCATGAGGACGATGAAGGATATTACGGGAACAAGCAAGAGGTCTCAGCTGATTCGGCGTTCTTCCATCTTCTCTATCAATCTCCATTGCTCCAATCCTTCTTCACACAAAAGGGTTTCACAAAGTAAGCATCTTTAGTCACAAATTCAAAATTGTCAGATTCTATAACTAAGAATTCGTATCACTGAAAGCAAAAACAAAACCGCTTCTAACTCAACACTAGCTCAACAATAGCTCAATTCAAAACTAGAGTAAAAACCTAATTTCGAGGAAGCTAGAAGAAGAGAGACGATTCCTTATTAGACTAGAAAACTAACCAAAGCGAAGATACAGCTACGGAGTTGAAGAACTGAGGCAGAGAGGAGAGAAGAAGAATCGCTCTGATTTTCTGAAGAATTAGGGTTTATTTGGTTTAAGTTTCAAAACCCTCAATTCAAATTAATTAAAGTGTACCGACATCAAACCGGTCGGTCCGGTTTACGTTTAACCAGTAAACTCAATTGAGGAAAGATAGTTAATGCGGCGTTTGAACATAATCAAATCTTCCGGAGAAAGAATCTGAGTATAACTGACGGAAAAATTCCGACGATCCTTTGCATCGACGATATCAAATTTGATCTGAGATTCAAATTCCGGTGATAATTCGAAGAAGATGGATGATGAATTGTTGGAATTGCAGCGTCAGTTCGAGTTTGCTCAACAGGTGAAGTCAAGCGTGAGATTATCGGATCGAAATGTTGTCGAATTGGTTCAGAAGCTTCAGGAGCTTGGCGTTATAGACTTCGATCTGCTTCATACCGTCACCGGAAAAGAATACATCACTCAGGTATAGATTCTGTTCAAAGTCCGGTGTGAATTTAGACTGTTTAAGAATCAACACTGGGTTTTTCAAAATTTTATGGCATCATGATGTGAGTTATGTGTTAATGGAGTGAAACTATGTTAACTCTGCTTGTTGCATGAGGAATTGAATCGAAAAAAATGAAGTGAAATTGTTTGATCTAGTTTTTGCTGAACGCTGCGAAGGATTTGGTGAAGTTTTTTTTTGTAATTGTTCTTCTTGATTTGTCGCAGGAGCAATTGAGGAATGAAATTACTCGTGAGATTAGTAAATTGGGACGTGTCTCTGTTATTGATCTGTCAGATACGATTGGGGTTGATTTGTATCATGTGGAGAAGCAAGCACAAGATGTGGTGTTGAATGATCCAGGGTTAATGTTGGTTCAGGGAGAAATAATATCACAAAATTATTGGGATTCGATTGCAGAAGAAATTAATGAGAGGCTTCAAGAATGCAGCCAAATTGCTGTCGCTGAACTTGCTGGTCAGTTACAGGTTGGCTCTGAGTTGGTGCAATCGGTTTTGGAGCCTCGACTTGGAACTTTGGTAATTGTGCTTCTCATCTTGAGCTTTCCAGATTGTGTTTATATGAATGAGAGCTTTTATATTTGTGTATTTTTTTTTTTATGCTTCAATCTTTTTTAGGTGAAAGCAAGGCTAGAAGGTGGACAGTTATATACACCTGCTTATGTAGAACGTGTGACCGCTATGGTTCGAGGTGCTTCCAGGGGTATTTTTGTTCCCTCCAACTTATCGGCATTGTGGGCACCATTGCAACAGTTGGTACAAGAAATGAATGGAGCCAGTGGAGTTGCTGTTGAGAATTCATTTTTCCAGTCTATATTTAACCGACTGTTGAAGGAAGAGGAGATGCTTGGATCACTACGTGCTGGAACCCATTGGACTCCTAGCGTATGTCATAACATTCCTATCTTTTGGGTTTCTGCCACTAATGGATTTACAACTCGATTACTAATTAACGACAGTTTTTAAAATTTCATGAGAGCACTCTTTTCTATGCTTGATGGTTCAGTTACAATTCATTAGAGTAACTTGTTTGATTTTGGTGGCAGGCTTTTGCAATTGCTCAAAAGGAGTGCGTAGACTCTTCTTTTTCACAGGTTCGGTCATCATTTTCTCTGAAATGTCCTTAGTTCGTTTATTTATCAGCTGGTTGTGGAAGAGAACTAAATCTAAACTTCATCAGACTGCAGTTTTATCATGTTCTGTAAATTATTCTTTTTTGAAGAAATGGTGAATACGGATTTATGGTTGTTTTTTTCTGTTTTCCTGCAGAATTCCTACATCTCCTATGAGAGCATGCAGAAGCTTGGGATTTCTCAAGCTGTGCAGTTCTTACAGGTATTGTATCATGCTAGTTTAGTGTAATTGTTTTGTAGTTAGTGAAAATCTGAGTTATGAAATGATATCTAGAATGATTATTATGTTGCCTCTTTCACTGTTTTCTCATTATAAGTTGTGGTTTATGACATGTATAGTCTAGATATCCAGATGGTACACCTTTAGCTGCTGTATTTATTCATTCCTCAATGATTGAGATGCTGGATTCTGCAACCGAGGATGTTATTGAACAAAACAGTTGGTGAGATAAAATTTCTCGTACTCTGATTCCCTCCGTCTATGGTGTTTGTTTTCTTTTATGTTATGCTGCCTGTATCACTAGATCCTTTGTTACTGAGAAACCCATGATACTGTGTGCAGGATCGATTCCCTCTCTGTATTACCTTCATCATTCACTTCACAGGATGCAAAAAAGATGTTGCTTCTTTGTCCCTCTGTCCAATCAGCTCTCAAGGTGAGATTTTGATCAAATTTGATAACTAGTCGACATTCTGTTGCAATAAATTGCTGATTTATTTGGCCTTTCAGGCTGAGAAAGCACTTATCTTGGGTGAATCCTATATCCTGAGCAGTGGGTTTATCAAGGTAAACTTATGAAATGGAGGGTATTATTAGTAGTTTCCTTTCGAGCTGTTGCCTTTCCCATTTGGTTTTTTTCCATCTGAACTATGCCTTAGTTTGACCTACTAATGTTTAGGGCATATATGATCAAATTGAGAAAGAGGCAGAAGCTTTTAGCATCCAAGCTTCTACTGCTAGTTTGATAGATCCTTCAAGCAAATCGTCAGAGTCGACAGAAAGCATACCTGCTAATACGGAGAAAGGGTCAAAGAAGAAAAAAGGGAAGTCTGTCAGCATGAAGGCAGCTACCGTTGAAACTGTTCCAGATGATGAAGAGGATGCCCGTCCAAAATCTAAGAGAAACCAGAAGAAAGGCAGGGATTCATCGTCATCACAGAAGTTGGATTCAAAAGCAGGAGGCAAGAAAGAGTCGGTTAAGGCCCAAGAAAATAATAACTTCATTCCTCCAGACGAATGGGTGATGAAAAAGATCGTCGACTCTGTGCCTGAATTTGAAGATGATGGTACATCTGAGAACTTTTTCTTATGTATGCATAAAAACATTATGTAGCTATTAATTCTGAGTCCATGTGACATAAACTATGGGGTTTCTTGCAGGTACGGAGAACCCAGATTCGATTCTAAAGCATTTAGCTGATCATATGAAACCTATGCTCATTAATTCACTAAAGGAGAGAAGAAAGAAAATCTTCTCTGAAAATGCGGATAGAATGAGGCGCTTGATTGATGATCTGCAGAAAAAGCTTGATGAGGTTAAAACTAACTGCTTCGACTATAGTTTTATCTTCTTTCGCTAAAATTTACCAATGCCTTCCCTTTGTTTCTCATCTTGGAGCTGTTACTCACCACTAGCTCCCTGCATGATAGAATCTTGTGACCTTATTTTTCTTGGATTTCCTTTTGGCAGTCTTTCTTAAATATGCAGCTGTACGAAAAAGCTTTAGAGCTTTTCGAAGATGACCAATCGAATTCGGTAAGTACTTTCAGTCATTTTGCAAGCCACGTGTACTACTCAAAGAAGCTAGTGTGTAACACTTTCTTTTCTTCTGGCCCTAGGTTGTTTTACATAGGCATCTGCTGAGAACAACAGCAGCTACAATTGCTGATACACTTCTTCATGGCTTGGTAGGTCAAAAATAAAGTGGAGTTTCTAAGGCCATCTTCATCCTGATTTAACTAATCACAGTTCGATTATCAATACAGGACATCCACAACAAACTGAAGAATGGTACTGAAGTTGGAGAATCCAAAACGCAAGATCAAGTTCTGCTTGATTCCTCTGAGAGAACGGCCCTTGTAATGCAAATTTGATCACTAATCTAACTTCGTACTTTATTATTGCACGTTTCTATTGTGAATAGTGCTAGCCTATGTTTGACTCTCCCATGTTTCCTTTCTTTTGGGGCAGGCTAAGAATCTCAACGGTTCACTTTCGAAAAAGGCTCTTGCATTAGTTGAGGCATTGGAAGGAAAGGTTAGATCCTCGTTAATGGATAGATTTTTTTTCCTTACAGTTGTTAACATACTGCCTGGCATGTGAAAAAGTGATTCTCCTCCTGTGGCTGACCATGTTGATATACACCCAAAGTTTCTGTCCTGTTAGAATTTTAATGGGAGTCAGGGATCTTAACAAGAATATGGATGTGCACTGTGCACATAGCCACATATAGCTATGGAGTTAGAGAAAAATCTTTATTAATTATAACTTAGGCCTGATCTATTTTCCGCTACCTAGTTAATAACCCTCTTAAAGGTTAGTTTCTCTTTGGTTCTTCTAGTGAATACATTCTAAGCGCCATTGATGGGATTATATTTGTTTCAGCGTGTAGACACTTTCATGATCACCTTTAGAGACCTGGCAGAAGAAAGGTATTATAAATATTATTTTTTGAGGAATCTCTGAAGCAAGTCTGTTTTGTTTTCACCGGGTTTGAGCTGAATGTTTACTATAATTGTGCAGTGGATTAGTATTGAAAAAGCTTGACAAAAAACTGGAAAGGACACTCCTACATTCATACCGTAAGGTATGTACGACACACCATGTCGTTGTTTCTATGACTTTATGATTTGTCATCACTGCTTTTTATCCCTTCAATGATGATGTTATCTGTGGTTGCAGGATTTGATATCTCAAGTTTCTACCGAATCAGACCCTGTTGCACTTCTTGCTAAAGTTGTCTCTCTACTTTTTATTAAGGTACATATCGACGTTCGTGTAACTATATTCTGTGCTCAAAATCCAAATTCAACTTATGGCTGGAAAATTGTCGACAGGTTCACAATAAAGCTTTACAAGCCCCTGGTAGAGCCATTGCTGCAGCTATTTCACACTTGAAGGTATTACAACTTAAGGAGAGATTTGCAATAACCTTCTCTCTCGATCATTCCTATATTCCTCTTTTTTTGCATTCACTGGCGTCTAGTTGTTCTGTATTATATCTTGGCCTTCCTTAATCCTTATTACATCTTTTTGATACCTTGTAGGATAAACTTGATGAATCTGCGTACAAGACTTTGACAGATTACCAAACAGCAACTGTAACTCTTCTTGCTCTAATGTCAGCTTCATCCGGCGAGGTTCATTTCCTTCTCTTGTTTTGTGGACTACAAATGTTCATTGGAAACGCAGCCGATTAAATCTCTATAGTGAATGATCTCTAAAACCTATTCCATTAACATGTACAGGAACATGACTGCTCCGCAGACAGAATCTTGACCAAACGGGAATTTCTCGAGAGCCAGATGCCATTGCTTAGAACCCTCGTCCTCGGCGACTCACAGCCACAACAATCCTAATCCAACAGAGTCAGGCCCGGAGGTTTCCTTAGTGTTCTGCTGATAAGATAAGACCGAGGTCACTACTCTTGAAACTTGTTAGGATTAGGAGAAATGACTCATGTTAAGATCGATCTTAACTATCAAATGGAGGCATCTATATTTCAAAACACTCTTTTATTAAGATTTACTTATATCGATACAACGAGATCGGTGATTACAGGAGAAAGAAGCAGAAAGGAAGTTCGCACTATTTATTTTACACTATCACACATTATTGTCTTTAGCTTTCCAACTTCAAAGTTCCTCTTAACCAGAGATATCAATGGACTTGACCTCAGGCTTACTCTCCGGCACTTTCGGCACCGTAACGGACAACACACCATTCTCCATACTCGCCTTCACTTCCTCCACCTTCGCATTCTCCGGCAATCTAAACCTCCTAATGAACTTCCCACTCGACCTCTCCACACGGTGCCACTTGTCACTCTTCTCTTCATTCTCACTGCTCCTCTCACCGCTTATCTGAAGTATGTTCCCATCTTCAACCTCCACCTTCACCTCTTCCTTCTTAAGCCCCGGCAAGTCCGCCTTGAACACGTGCGCCTCAGGTGTCTCCCTCCAGTCCACTTTAGCGTTTGTGAACGCTGCCACGTCCTTGGCAGGTGCGTTTGTCAACCCAGGCGTCATGAATCCTTCGAATGGATCCCATACGTCTAGTGAAAATGGGTCGAACACGTTTGTTCTTCGGCCTCCAAAAAAGCTCGGAATTAGAGACATCGTTTTGTTTTGCTTTCTATGAATTTCTTTTCTCTCTTTTTTTTGATGCAAACACTTGTGTGCCTTGGCTTATTTATAGGGAGAAAAGATGGGAGAGTGGAGGATAAGAGACAGAAAGTTCTGCAAGTTTCTTGCAGTTTCAGGTTTCTTCTTTTCTTTTCTTTAGCGTATGTCAAGAGCGTCACTACCAGATTTCTCAGGTGACTTCAAGAAGTTTCGACATTGATTGTTGAGAGACGACATGCAGTTCATCAGGTGGGGCAGTGAACGCCATGTCGTTTTGTTTTAACATGGGCTTCGTTAATGGGCTTTAATACACCATGCAATTAATCACATGTTTACCGTAATGAACTTATATTTTTTGTTGCTAAACTAAAGGGTTATTATTGTACGTGAGAATTTAATAGAATATCATTAAAAAAAAAAAGTGAAGAAACAATTTCCACCATTTATGCTCTGATTTGGACAAAATTCATTTATTATTTTTTTTTTTTTTATCAATTACTCAATAATCCCCTCTTAAAATGAATACATGTTCTCCTAGGAAGAAGATAAAAAAAAAAAAAAAGTAAAAATTAAAAATAAATGGTATTCTATCACTACTAAAAGTTTTTGTTCAGAAAATACCATCACTAGTTTTTTCTTCCAAATAATACCACAAATTCAATATTAAAATAAAATAAAATCTATTTTAAATGTTGAAAATATATATATCTAAATTGGAAATAGGAAATCAAAATATAATATTTTAATTTTATTTGTAATTTATGTTAGTAATAAAATTCAATTTAGAGACTCACCATCATCACTAGGACCACCGGTAGGTTTTCTTTTTTCGATTTTTTCTCGAACCATCCGTACTAACTCAACTTCCATTTGTACTGTTCACGGTCACGGATCTTGAATCCGATTTAGATGAGACATCAGCTTGTTCAGGTAGCAACATGATTTGCTGAGGGACAATAACATCTGTGTCCTTGTGGTTGTGCTCGGTTGATAATGTTGACTTACTGTTCCTCTTGCTGGTTAAAGCAAACTGGTAAATCTTTGTTAAGTCAGATGGTTTAATGGGTTTTGTAATGAAACCCATCGCTCCACCACTTAAACTCTCCTCTTCTTTGTTTGTGTCTGATGACATAACTTTATATCAAAAGAAATGTAAGAGAAGACAAACGGTTAAATATATCTTAAACTATTACAAAAAATATATCATAATTTGATTTAAGCTGTAAAGAACAAAAAATGTTACCTAAGACCGGTAAATTTCCAAATTTTTCAGTGATTTTTTTTTTGAGTTGTACACCGTTCATGCCAGGCATGTAATAATCTGTGATTATGAGATCTATATTGTCTCGTTGAATTTCTAGAGTAGATAATGCTTTCTTTGGATCGTCTACAGTTATAACTGTGATCTCCATAACCGATGGATCTAAAACCATTTAACCAAAAAAAATTAATAAACTAAAATATAAAAAAATATTGCAAGTACTAAGAATTATTACTTTTTGATTGGTTTAACCTTTGAAAAAAAAGATAGGTTTTTCATAAGTTCGTATGGAGGGCTTATATACGAAACATAAGTTTTCCACCTTAAGTATAATATATTTCACAAATTTTGAGAAAAGTTCATAAGATTAGTAAAACATATTCTTTAAAATCACAACATTTTGATTGAAGTGTTTACAAATTCTTGTGATGGCTAGTTGATACTTATAAGAAAATTCGATTTGAAGAATATCAGCTAGTTTTAAACTAAGAAAAATTACATGTCGTATGCAAACACAATCTACAAATTAAATAATTTATTTTGAATTCAACACTAAGTTACTATTTTCAACACTAATCTCTTAAAAAAATTACATAGTATAAAGTATGGTTTGACAAAAAGAAAAGAAACTTTACATGGCATATTGGTTAGAATTTTTATCAATCAAACTGTTCGTTTCAAGGTCATCAAAATAAGAATACCTTGAAATTGTAGATGTGCACATGTAAATGGAATACGAATCCGGATGATTTAGAAGAATAATTGTTAAATTTCAACAAGTTTTGTTTTTAAATCTGCTAGTTGTTTCTCCAAAAGTTGTATTTCATACTAAAAAATAATAGAAAATAAAATCTCAATGAAATCACTAACAAAAAACCAATAACATATTATATATGATAATAATATTTTACCTATGTATTTGTTCTTTTCAAGCATGCGTGCCAAAATTTGAAGGAAAACATGATCATCGTCCACAACCATGACATTGATTCTGAAGACAGAGCTTTGGTTGTAGAAAGATTGAGCAAAAGCCATTCTAATAATCTTTGTAAAGACTTTTTTTTTGTTTTTGTTTTTCCAAGTTTGTATGAACTATTTAGGTTGCACAAAGCCCACTATTTAAAGGCGAGTAAAGTAGACACGTAAATGCAACATATGGCAATATTGTACTAGTGTATATGTAATTAATTATTATTTGTAGAAAGAAATAATAATAATATAAGATAAATGAAAACATAATTCTCTTTACTATTTTAATGATAATATTGAAAATTAAGAAAAGTTGAGAAAAAATAGAAAAAAGAGATGCAAACAAATATTACCCAATGTGCTAATTAATGTAAAAAATCTAGAATAAGTTAAGAAAAAATTAATGCTATTTACCAATAAATGTTTGGTAGATTTAACACACACAAAAAAAAACAAAAACAATTGGTAGTACTATAAAATGGATATGAACTTTTAGTGTTTCTCCATATTTTTTTCTTTCTTGTTTAGGATTGATTTTCATATAGATTTTCTACATATTTGTTGGATTTGTGCTATAAAGGGGAAATGTTGCAATATTGTTTCCAGAAATTCTAAATAAATTATGAATTTTTATTATTTCAAGATTAACTTTTATCTATAGAAAAAAAATGATGTAATGAAAATTGTCCATCCAAAAAACCTAATTTGTTCCATCTTTTTGATCTTCACATATACAAATGTGACTAGAACTAAGATTTGGATACACATTAGGTTCTATGATTTTTATGTTTCGAGTTTCGTAAAAGAAAAATATTTTTCATTAACTTTTTGTACTAAATATTTTTTATTTTTCTAATCTTATACTAAAACGTGCATTAATTCTTGTTATTTTTGGAATAATCATATACTTTTACTATTTAGATATAAATAAAATGACATCAACCTAGTATCTCAATTTAGAAATAAATCTTTCAATCACTATACTATTTTCTTCTAACTATATAAGTTTGTTAGTTTTTGAACTCCATAGTAAGTTTTTAGACCATGATTAAAATTGTGTCCTTCTTCGTAACTTAAAACTATTTAACAGAAATTAAAAAAATTAGATATATAATTCACTAAAAATAAGTTAATATTAATAGTATCTACAACTTTTGCCCTTACTCATCTCATAGACAATATTTGATTAAAAGTGTTATACCTAGTTATTTCTATATTAGATGAAATATACAACAAGAAATACAACGTTTTCCTACGACCAAATTCGTAGAAAATTCTTAGAAAATCAGTAAATAAATGTTTTGTGTTACCATGTATAGTTAGATTTATTTTTAAATTATTTATAAGAAAAAATATAGTTAGTTTAACGAAAACATTTTAATTTATAGAAAAATTTCATGTAACAAAAACACTACAAAGTTTTACATACGATATTATACATTTTTTAAAAAATCACATCTAATTTAATTAATATTATTTTACCTATATCACATTATAATTAATTATACAAAATTTGAAATAAATAATATTTTAATTATATATGAAATCTTTTCTACCAATTTCCTACCTATCCTTTTTCCAGAACTTTCCTTCCAATTTCTTACGAGATTTCCTACAAGAATATGTTCATAGAAAATTGAAAAAAAATATTTCCTACCAATATTTTTCTCATGACTTTTCTACCAATTTCCTACGAGTTTTCCTACGACAATATAATTCGTAAGATTTTCGTAGGAAATTTCCTACGAAATCCTGACGACGATTTTTGTAGGAAATATCTTTCGAATTTCCTACAAAATATATATTTCGTAATAATTTGGTAGGAAATTTTTCCTATCAAATTTTTGGTAGAAAATTTGGTAGGAAAAGCATATGTTTTCTTGTAGTATATAATGGTGTTTTCTACCAATAAAATTACGTAAAGTTTACATGCGCTTGATTCTTACTCATGGAAACGCAAAACTGTTTGTAACTAAATTCACCGTGTTTCATGGAACGACAAGATCCAAAGAATTGAAATGGCAAAGAGCATTATCACTTGATCAAGTAAAAAAAAAAGTCAGTTGCATCAATTAATTTGTGTCAAAGAATAAGATGACACTAATTTGAATTACTTATTTATAATCGATACAAAAATTATAATTTAAAATCATTTACAATAATTGATGCTATTATTGATATATGTGGCATCATTTCATTAAAATTGATGCAGATCTAGATCCATTTGCATCACTTTTACAATTTAGAAAATAATACAAAATTTAAATCAATAAACAACCGATGCTAATTAAAGATTAAGCATCCGTTGTAAAAAGCGATATAATTGGTTACTTATTTTGTCAACGTCTCACATTGCTTCCACTGAAAAAAAAAGAGGCTTCATAGTTTTCTTATATATAGTGACCTTGGTTCATGATGTCAACAAGTGTAAAACTTAATAAGAAACTATTATCCTAAATAAATATGATCGTTTGCTTTCATATTAATTAATAAAATTAGATAAATTTGTTTATTAAAAAATTATTTAATATGATTTTACAAATTTTAACATCAATTATTCATAATTGATATAAACATTTAACACCACTCATTATTACCGTAGCAAATATTAACGTCATTTTGATAAATTGATGCAAATACTAGTATCATTTATTTTTATTTTTTTAATGAAATGTTTAATTGATTGATTAAGAATGAGACAAATATCTACAAAGGTAATGAATGGACTTCTACGACATGAGAAAAGGAAAAAACAGAGCTAATGACAAAAATTGCAGATTAAAAAACTAGACAAAAAACGATCAGTTTTTTCTTAGAAGCATAGGTCCAGCTTCAAACCACCTTTGCATCAGTCGCCGTAGTCGGGGCTTTTTGGTGTAATCAAGCGAAGTAATTCTGTTGCGAACTGTCTTTTCAATACGGCGAAGCACTTGTGTCATCGTGGAGTGGTAACCATTGTGAATCCGATTGTTACGTTCATGCCATATCGTGTAAATCGTGATCTGAAAACAGAGCTTGAGCAGAATGTCATCGAGGTAGCTTCCCGAGCCTGAGATCAAGACCATGACAGTAGCAGACCAGTCAGGATCTTGTGGTTGCCTTAGAAGGTTACCTGCAAGGTCAGACCAGACATTGAAAGAGAAGGGAAACGCAAAAAATAGGTAGTCACGCGTCTCCTCTCTTTCGCCGCAAAGAACACACGGTTGATCTTGTCCCCAAATTCGCATACGAACTCCCGTTGTCAACCTGTTCTCATTGCAAGCCAAGCGATGAATCCGCAACGAGGAATACTTTGTCCAAACCAAATAATAGAGCTCCAACTTATAACAGGGTGATGTGTCCTTATCTGATTCCAAGTATGAGTTGTTGAGAACTCTGGTCTGAAATCATCATCTCCACATCTCCATAAAAATTCATCCGGCCCTCTTGAACTGTGAGGTATAGGTTGTGCTCGAAGCTGCTCTGTTAGCAAAACCAAATGGGCATACTAGTATCATTTATACTAATTGATGCAAAATTAACATCATTTTTTCAATTGATGCATATTAACATCGATTACGATAAACGATGATGCAAATAATTATTTGAACCATCTTTTCTCAAATAACATATAACTACTATATTTTTGTTTTAAATATTTTCGGTACATTTTTAAAATAGTTACTGCTATTTATTGATTTTCAAAATTTCTTCTAAAATTCAAAATTTTACTAATAATTCTTAATTTTAATATTTAGTCAGTTTATTTACCTCTGTAATCGAAAGTCAAAAGGTTGTTTGGAAAATTAGTGCATGTAAAATTCAGTTTTAATTTTGTTTCCTTAGAGTAAAGTTAAGCTAGTCTTGGGTCACTGGTTACACCATTTCTAAATTCTCAAATCAGTACATATATATTTTATTGGTTGAACCTACATTAAGTACCATGCACTTATGCAGAGTCATTCCTTTTTTTTTGAATTTATGCAGAGTCATTCCTACCGCAAATATTTATCCAAATTTGAAAAAAAAATAGTATAAAATAGAAGAAGATGCAATTTGATTGATATTTTAAAATTTGATATAATATTAATAATCATTTTATTTTTGTCAACTATATGATAATGTGGGGCTGTAATTCGAAGTGCTCTAACCCACCGTTGGCCTTTGCTTCTCTGATTTTGCGTTCTTGCCAAGTCAAATGCCAACAAGTCAATACAATTTTTAATTGTTAACTCACATTTCTTCCATAAACTTTCAAATTAAATTTAACAGTCCAGAATAAATAAATAAAATTGAAAAAGTCTTTATTTTGATTAGTGTTCTAAAATACGGTCTAGGCGGCCGTATATATGGCGGCGTCTATACATTATACGGTGAGCTACTGTACCGTTTTTAGGTTATACATTTAATAAATACAGTTTGGGTTAGTCTGGATGATTATACAGCGTTTATACAAACGCATATACGGCTACCGTATGTACGGTATGTATTTTTTTTTTTTTAGTATTTCAACTAAATGATGTTGTTCTATTATATGATCACTGTTTTTTTTTTCATTACCTATCATTAGTTCATTATTTTGATTGTGTCTTAGACTCTTAGTTTCTCAATATCGTGCTTAATTTAGATGTTCACGTCAGATGCATTTCATATGAAAAACTAGAATTCCTTTAAAGTCAAATCATGTTGAACAAATTAGCTTAATATTATATGGAATCAAACAAACTGTTATGTTTTGGTTTTGGACCAAACAAACTACAGATTGCTGTTCTTTCTTATTATCATTTATTTGATGGCTTTTCTTTTGACAACTTTTTGTTTAACAGCATTTTGATTTGGATTTATAATCTTTAATTTTATTTAAGTCTTTTTACATATATGTGAAATATAAATATTTTTGTCTACCTCTCAGGTTACGCTTAGACAACTGTTTCGCCCGCCTAAAATTGCATAAATTTTATTTTAGTATTTTTATTTTTCAATTTCCAACTACATAAATTTAAATTATAAATTTTAGCTTCATATATATTCTTTGATATGAATTAAATAAATGATTTTTTTTTTACAATTAATATTTTATTTTTCTAATAAATAGTTTTATATGAAGTTTATCTATAATATCATATTTATGATGTGTTACGTTGTAAACGCCTAAACCGCCTAAAATCGTCTAGATTAGGTAATCTAAGCGGTAGGCATTGGGTCACTGTCCGCTGAGCGCCTAATGCTTTCTTGAACATTGATCAGAAGAACAAAGAGAGAAAACTAAAATAAAAATAAAAATTGGAAACATATAAAATTCAAGGTAAAAATCATTTCTTTTACATGATGTTCAATGTCATTGCGCTACGTATGACTGGTTCATTCCAATAAGGTCGTCGATCTCCCCCATGTCTGATTCATTTGTAGGCTGGTTTGAATCGTTTTCCATCTGTTGTGTGAACAGAGTTGACGCTCCAGTCCCCATATTAGCCACTATCATCAAAACATTTAAGTATTTAACTAGTCACATCTCTAGAGTACATAGATATTAGCCATGAACAAAACTTCATATATATATATATATATATATATATATATATATATATATTTAAAACAAATGGATCATACATAAACACTCTATAGATACACAAATTCACAACAAGAGACTTAATATATAAAATAATACCTGTGGAAGTAGGCATAGCCAAGGCTTGCAGCCTCACTTTGCGACGATTAGCTAAGATTATAGCGATGAACACATATGCGACAAGAACAAACGCAACGGCGGATACCACACCGAGTATAATTGGCAGTTTACTGCTCTTTCCATTGGTTGATCCACCTGACCCGATATCAAAATGTGATTTTTTTTTTTACTTGCATAAGATGCATAATTAAATTTTTTTATTTTTCTGCATAATATTCATGTTATGATTACTGAGAGCTTTCATCTAATAATAACAAACCCATAAGATAACAAGTTAAAATGGATAAAAATATCCAAATACAAACCTGGACTCACTTCATTGCTTCCTCCAGTTCCTCCTTTGCTACTCCCACCAGAGCCTTAACACAAAAATAAAATTAAATGTATATCAAATAACATAGATGACTATTATTTTTTTTTTTTTTTAGTCGAACTTTATAGGTGATTATATAATCTAAATATAGTAAATTAAAGCTTGTTTGTTTTGGTAATTCGTGTTTCTACGTCGAAAAATAGACTAATCACTAAAAATGCATTCTAAGATAACAAACCAGATCCGGATCCACTGCTCCCAGATCCTCCTCCTCCGCTTCCACCTGATCCTGATCCCGAACCACTTCCGTTTCCGCCTGTGCCTTCGTTTGTACCCTTACTTATCACATAAAGCTCGGCCGCATTTATCATGGGCGGTAAAAGCGCACTAGCAGTGGACCATAACGTCAGTTGGGTGCTTGAGCTTGCCACCAGATCTCTCACGACCACTTGTGTGGCTTTTCCAAACACAGGCACAACAGGACCCCTACCAACTTGCTTACCACCAAAGAAAATGTTGAACGATCGTAAACTGGACTGAAGAGGCTCCGAGAAATACATAGCCAAGTACACCGGAACTCCTGCCGAAGGAAGAGTAGGGTCGTATAATGATAAGCCTTCTCCGGTCCAAGAGTTACGGAGGACGGACTCAGGCGGTCTGTTTGATGCACCAGAGGTATCGATCGATGCAGCCGCGGATGGTATTCCGGTCACCAATATGTTTATATCGGATGGAAGCCAAAATCTACCTTGAGGATCCGATCTAACCAAAAAAAAAAAAAAAGATCTTAATTAAACTCGACAAGCTATTAATTAAATCTTGTATTTAATCAATCTCCCGGCCAGTTGACATAATTATGGACTTATGGTTGATTAGATTATGATCTCAACTGTACTTTAAAACATAAGTATTTTATAAATTTCACTTTCTTATCAATATTTTTGCAAAAATTGTAAACCAAACGGATTTTTACTTCCATTTACAACTAACAATTTTATTTTTTCGAATTTAAACGCTAGAAATTGCTGTTTCATATATACACATTGTAATCGTGAACACCTAAACTAAAATAATAATTGAAACCTATGTTTATGCTACTTATACACGTAATTGGATATCGATGTTACCTTAGAAATTCTGTTGCACCATACGCACGTCGTTGTTGGTAAAATAAACCTTCACCAGGACCAAGCTCGTTATACATGCCATCGTCCAAGTCGGAAACTTCAATGGAAGATACAAAAGGGTTTGATGATGAAGACGTACGTACAAAACAAACGCTGGTCTCTCCGCTGGCCGGAGAAAATATCAGCTCCAAAAGATAAGGTTCGAACGCCGAGGATATCGATACGGTGCCTCGGTGTTTCCCTTCAAACACTACGTTGAAGGATGGGGTTGAGGACTTCCCGTCGTAATTTCCGTAGTAAAACATCGTTCTCACAAGAATTTTTCCGCCTTTTGTAACGGGAATGTTGGAGTAGCAATTGGAGTCGCCGGTGGGAAAGTACCGAAGTGTGGTGAGGGATTTCTCGACGGTGGTGGACGAAACGGTGGCCGACTCTCCGGATGTGATGAATTCTTTGTCTCCGACCCATTTTAGGTTGTTGTTGTCTACGCCCGGCAATGACGTTCCACAGTCTATGTTTACGCCTGCAATTTGATTATGTATGCATGAATCATGATCGCTAAGGGTTAAATATATAATCTTCTTTCCTAAAATTAGTTTTACGGCCTATATCCAAATTCGAGGCCAATTAATGTTGTATACTGACAATTAAAAGCATCTAATAATAATCCAATAAATTCACCCCTCTTATTGATCTATTGAACAATTTTTCTGGAGTTCCATGTAGTCGTTATGAACTTCCGTTGTAGATTATGTAAACAAAAGTCATATGACTCGATCCACATGATGAAGGGACATTGTTTAACGCTTTATGTTTGATGGGTTTTGGTGAAAATGCAAAAGGCAGTTATGGATTTTGTGACCAGATGATAAGAAGTCTTTTTTTTTTGTATAAACATTTTTTTATGCATCCCTTAAAATTATGTGGATTTTGTGACATAGACCAAACTTTAAAACCAACAATGCTGAGGAATGACTCTTTTGAATTCTAATTAATTGCGGATGACAAAAAAAAAAAAAAAAAAAAACTTTAAAACATGGACAGAAAAGAAAGAAAGAAACCATAAACAGAATCCCTTAATTATGTAGATCTTCATGCTACTAAGCTTACCTAATACGATAAAGAAAGAAAAAAATTGAATTATGTGCGAAGCAAAAATACTTACTGGCAAGAGAGAGGGTTATGACGGAAAGAAAGAATAGAAGAAAAGGCAAAGCAGCAGCCATGGCGGGAGCTAATTTTTCAAGTAATGTTTTCTACAAAATTTATATAGAAATTCGATATATGTACATCATATGTGTATATAGATGTTATCTAGTTGAGCTGTCGATTAGTATTTTAAAACCAAGTTAAAATCGACCAAACAAAATAAAACATGAGAACATTCCTTTAGAATTTTGACCTAGCTAGTTTTATTTTCCAGCGAGGAAACAATTGGTTCTTGAAGACCGGGCAATTACAAAATATTTACAATATGCATTTTGATATTGATATTTCCAACTCATGCTAACAAGTTAGGAAATTTATGTCCAATGCCAGTCTTAACTTTGACATTAGTTATACACAATTTGAAATCTTATATTACCAAAGAAAAAAAATAAAAAAATAACTTAAGGCCTTGTGATCTAAGTAGACTTAAGGTGCAAATCAACTTAACCCTTGATTATACTATAGAAATTTATTCTTGACATTTTTAAGATCACAAGGCCTAAATTACCTAGAAATATCGTTCTAGAATTTGAGTCATTCAACTGGATTAACCTCTATTAACTAAATTATGAGAATCCTAAATTTTCGTTTGAATTCCAACAGAATTATGCCAAACGGTTTCTTAATTACTCTGCTGATAAGACCGATCGAGGTCACTACCCTAAAACTTAAGGACTAGGAGAAAGCGACTAAGCTTTGCAGATATTTTTTTTGGTTTTAAGGTTAATTTTCGAGAATTGTTTTATTTATTTTGGAGAAATCTGACTCATGTTTGCAGAATTTAGCTACATATTTATATCCCAACCTATTTTATTGGCATTGTTAATAACCACTTGGGGCAACTATGTTTCAAAACATTCTCTCATTAAAATTCACTTATCGATATCACCATATTCATTATTACAAAACAAGATAAACGAAAGAGAGAAAGCATAATCACACCATTTATTTCACATATCACACATTTTTGTCTTCAACTTTCAAAACTTCAAATTCCCTCTAACCAGGGATATCAATGGACTTGACCTCAGGCTTCCTCTCCGGCACTTTCGGCACTGTAACAGATAACACACCGTTCTCCATACTCGCCTTCACTTCCTCCACCTTCGCATTCCCTGGCAACCTAAACCTCCTCATAAACTTCCCACTTGATCTCTCCACACGGTGCCACTTGTCACTCTTCTCTTCATTATCACTGCTCCTCTCACCGCTTATCTGAAGTATGTTCCCATCTTCAACCTCCACCTTCACCGCTTATCTGAAGTATGTTTATGCTACTTATACACGTAACTGGAAATCGATGTTACCTTAGAAATTCTGTTGCACCATACGCACGTCGTTGTTGGTAAAATAAACCTTCACCAGGACCAAGCTCGTTATACATGCCATCGTCCAAGTCGAAAACTTCAATGGAAGATACAAAAGGGTTTGATGATGAAGACGTACGTACAAAACAAACGCTGGTCTCTCTGCTGGCCGGAGAAAATATCAGCTCCAAAAGGTAAGGTTCGAACGCCGAGGATAGCGATACGGTGCCTCGGTGTTTCCCTTCAAACACTACGTTGAATGATGGGGTTGAGGACTTCCCGTCGTAAATTCCGTAGTAAAACATCGTTCTCACTAGAACTTTTCCGCCTTTTGTAACCGGAATGTTGGAGTAGCAATTGGAGTCGCCGGTCGGAAAGTACCGAAGTGTGGTGAGGGATTTCTCGACGGTGGTGGACGAAACGGTGGCTGACTCTCCGGATGTGATGAAATCTTTGTCTCCGACCCATTTTAGGTTGTGTCTACGCCCGGCAATGACGTTCCGCAGTCTATGTTTACGCCTGCAATTGATTATTCATGCATGGATCATGTCATTATGATGATCATGATCGCTAAGGATTAAATATATAATCTTTTTTTTTTTCCTAAAATTAGTTTTACCTATCCAAATTTGAGGCCAATTATTGTTGTATACTGACAATTAAAAGTATATAATAATTCACCCCCATTTTATATATAAATTCATCTTATTGATCTATTGAACAATTTTTCTGGAGTTCTAATTAGTCGTTATGAATTTCCGTTGCAGATCATGTAAAAATAAGTCATATGACTCGATCCACATGATTAAGGGACATTGTTAATTTAACGCTTTATGTGTGATTGGTTTTGGTGAAAATGCACAAGGCCGTTATGGATTTTGTGACCAGAAGATAAGAAAAGTCTTATGTAAACATTTTTTATGCATTCCTAAAAATTATGTAGATTTTGTGACATAGAACACACTATAAATTAAACATGAACAAAAAAAAAAAACAATAAACAGAATCCCTTAATTATGTAGATCAATCGGGACGAAGAGGTTCAAGTTTACGGCCAAATCCAAGACACTTTCTACTACTAAGCTTACCTGATAGGATAAAGAAAGAACTTAAATTACGTGCGAATAAAAAATACTTACTGGCTAGGGAGAGGGTTATGATGTAAAGAAAGAAGAGAAGAAAAAGCAAAGCAGCAGCCACGGCGGGAGCTAATATTTCAACTAATCTTTTTATACAAAATTATATATAGACACCCGAATATATTTACTCCATCTGTGTATATATATATGTTATAATATATGTTATCTAGATGAGCTGTCTATTAAGACTATTATTATTTTAAAAACAAGTTCAAATCGACTAACAATATAAAACATGAGAACAATCCTTTAGAGTTTTGACCTATTTTTAATTTTCCAGCGAGGAAACAATTGGTTCTTGAAGAACGGGCAACTACAAAATATTTACAACATGCATTTGATATTGATATTTCCAACTCATGCTAACAAGTTAGGAAATTCATGTCCAATGCCAATCTTAACTTTTGACATTAGCTATAAACAATTTGAGGTCTTATTTTACCAAAGAAAACAAAAAAAGAATAACTTGAGGCCTTGTGATCTAAGTTGACTTAAGGTTAGGCCATGGTCAATGAAAATTTGGGATATTATGCAAGTGATTTTCATCTTTGTTGTGTGTAGTTGTTAATATTTCTATTTATCTTCTTGTACATGCAGACTGCTTTCCATGATTCATATTGTGGTATGTCCCACAATATGATGTTAGATATCCTTACCCGAGTCTCTAAAAGCAGTCTCGCCTCTCTTCGGTTTCTCAAAAGTTTTATCAGATTTTCTGCTCTCGCGAAATGCTTTACATGAGAAGGCAGTTAGGCAAAGATGGAGTTTTCATAATGTTGGTGGACACTAATAAGGCATGTCTTCCTCATTTTTGGTATTCTTTTAGTCGCAACCAAACTAATCTGATGGCCAGCCTATTCCAACCGACTCACATGCCCAATCCTCAACCTCCCACCCGTGACATCTTCTCCTTCCCATGGTATAATTTGTTTTGAGTTCAACTTATGATCGAGCTAGTCTATGAGTTTACAACTCTTTTTTCAACAAATTCCGCAACGGCCCTCATATGCCTTCTCAACTCACGTAAAAGACAGCCGGATTGGTGGGTAACACTCTTTACATTATCAGCGTTGGAAGATAGGGTCCATAGCAACTCTAAGTTGTGTCTTTCAACATCACGATCAACCTTTAGAGCAGTTTACCATTGATCCAAGAACCAACCATCCACGAATGTCGTTCTATTGAAAACACTTGTATCAACAAGCACATTTACTCATTGAGCTAAAACATAGAGCGACCCGTTCACTACAACAAGCGAAACGGAATGTGTGTATTTTGATTTGCTTGGTGATATACTTATACAACTTTATCAAATATTATATATATGGGCATGTTAATAGTTGAGACAACATGCAATTGATTATGTATGTTGATGAGCATCACACCATTTTATTTTACATGGACTTTGCTAATGGACCTTAATACGACATGCAATTAATCATGTGTCTACTAAAACAAACACGTATCTTTTGTTATTAAACTATAAGAATACATGTTTGTTATATTTAATGATCTTACTCTCATGTGTAGTTCAACTTTTGTACAAATTGCATAACTTAAACCCCAACATAATACTTATACAAAAAATTATGATATTAACTTAATCCAAGATTATATGACCATTGAAAATAATTTCACGAATTTTCAAACACTTAATTTAAAGATTTGAAATATCTACTTATGAAAACAATGTAAACAATTTTTATTTTAAAAATTAGTCACTATCTATTTTTTTACTTATTTGCTTTACGTTGGAGAGTAGAAAGACAATGAACTTGCTTATCAACATCAAGTATATCACTCATTATGTTCATCACCATCAACATATTTGAAGTGAAAATGTTCATTACCATCAACAACTTATTTTTTCACTTAGTTTTTTCTCATAATCAATAGGTTCTTCTTCTACCATCATCAATGTTGTGATTTTCATGTTTTTTGTCCACAACATCAACACTACTCTCTTTGAAAAAAAAAATCGAGTATATGAATTCGAGAGAGAGAACATAATTACTATAGAATTCTAATTTAAAATTAAAAATGATTACCAAACCGAGAATCCATTGTGGATCTTGAATACATGGCATACAAACTACAAAATTGTATCTAAAAGCAAAATCATATCTTGCAAATAAATAATTAATTTATGTGATCCATGATAATTATATGTCAAATAAACATTATGAAAACAATTTTACAAATGCCAGTTAGCCAAAATTCCATACAAATCAACAACAATCTCTCACATGGTAAATATTTTTGGAAACAAAAAATAACAAAGAGTACCAAAAAAAGTCATCTATCATTCCTTTTTTATCTCAAAATGTGTTCACTAATTGAAGCCTAAATGTGATTTTGTATGATTCTTTATTTTCTTTTTTTTGGTTTTATTCTATATAAATTCTCTGTTTTTTCAGATCCAAAAGAGAGAGAGAGAAGAGACGTATTAAATTGTGATCTTTTGCTTTGTATTCGAAATCACAAAACATATACTTGTAAGTTATGACTAGTGTTTTAAAATACGTTTTAGGCAGATGTATATACGACACTTATACAGTGTACGGTTAACCATTGTACCGCTTTTAAGTTATATGTTTAATATATATGGTTTGGTTAACACACCCAAGTATAAGATGTTTATATAGATGTATATACGGCGACACTATAAACGTTTTTCCATTTTCTTTTGTATTTCAACTAAATCATTTTGTTTTCGTTCGTTAAATAAACAAAAATTAATTGTGTATCTTAAAATAAACCAACAAAGAGAGAAAACCCTAATTGAATATGTTTTTGATCAATAGAAAATGATCCACGCATTGCATAGGTTCAATAATATATTAGTTAGTATTAATTATTATTTTTTCAAACTATTAAATGTTCACCTTTTTTTTTTTTAATTCGTAGTTTAGAAGTGTATGATAGTGTTGTCGATGTGTTAGTACTACCTACGTATAAACTCCCATTATGCATGTTATTGTTAAAAATGTGTTTACCTTCTTGCAAAGGAAATTAATTGCATAATCTAATATATAACTGCTAATGAAAATTATACATGAGAATGTTATAGTTTTTGTTATTCACAACACTTACACATCCAATACTAAACAATGTGATTTCATTTTCATTTATAATAGTATCTTCGATGACTTCAGATCACTCTTTACATATCATTTTTATTACTTTGAGATCTTAATTTTATGATGTAACCTCAACACCGTCTTCTTAAAAATGAACATATTGGTGTACTTAAAATATGTTGTTGCTGCCGATTTTTTGTGTTAAAAATATTTGATTTACATGATGGAATCTCAAACGTTTAAAAAAAAAAAGTATATCACAAAATTATCACTTGAGATATGCTATAAATATTTTATATCAATTTTTTTAACCGGCTTACATATCAATTTTTTGTATATTTTGTTGTACAACTCATGAATCATATGACTATTGATTATTATTTGTGTTAAAAAAAAATTTAGATTTCTTTTTAATAATTTCAGAAAAAAATGTGACCTAAGAATGTCTATCTTAAATTAAATTTGTGAGTTTAGTAATCTCTTAATATTTAAGTGAACATTTAGTAATAAATAAAATCTCTGATTCAGGTTTAATAGACCGTGAGTATTGGTCTCATCGAGATCATAATCCGCATTTGATCTGAGGCATACTGTATCAACTATAGGATTATTGTTGTTCCATTGCTCCAACAAGACAACTAGAAAGCTAATAGAAGAATTAGAGGTTTACCTACTAGATTTCACTTGTTCATCCAAGAAACCATTGATTGCATCATACCCAGGGAAAACTTAGTTAACCTTGGTCATCTTGATGAACTTGAGGCGTTGGAATATCTTTTGGTGGATGTAGGAACAATATTAGAAAGTGAGAACCCGTTTACGTATAATTTGGCAAAGGAATCAAAAGTGGTAAATAATCCCATGTAGTTGTACGAGACCAGTACGAGGATCTGGAACTTTAAAATTATGCTTATGAAGTCTCTCTTGGAATCCCATGTAGCTACACGCCTAATCGTCACTAATAAGTATGACTCAATTGTGGGAGATGATGTTTATGATCCGCGAATAAATGCAAGAGAGTTGAGCGGACACATGATTCTTAACACTGGTTATGGCATAGATTCAACCGGAAAAATGTTCTAGGAAGCACAAGAGTCATACGGAATCAACAAAGGAGCTGGCGGGTACATCAGAATAGCTCGATACAAAAACCTTCTTTCTGATTTGTATTAGATTACTGTTTGAGGTAAACTTTTGTTGCTAGTTCTGTTTTGATGGATCTTCTATCTAACCAAGCATTGGTTCCTGATAAACAAGATGATAATATATGTGGGTTTCACAACTATGATATGGAAAATAT